GCAGGTGGTGCAGTGTTTACAAGATGTGGTTGCTAGACTACCGCATGTGCGTGCAGTATCGCACTACGTACAAAGGCCTACTGTGAATGCAAAAACCAGCACCCTTGACAGACTCGCAGGGGCATAGCAAATGCATAGTGCAATACCTGGCCAGTTCGATTATTATTATTGCACCTCATGGAGCTATCTGCGATACATTCGGGAGCTGCCAATAGTGAAAGGTGAACGCAATAGCCTAGCAACTATATCCTGTAAGCTTTGCAACACCTGCGCAATCCACTATCCCTAGCTGTCTTTATATCTGATGATGAAGCCGAGTAAAAATCCAAAACGCAAGCTACTGTTCAAACGCAGTTTGCAGATGTTAATGCCGAAGACCATGACCGAAGGACACATGACACTGAAAGGGAAGCTGCGCAGCCTTGAAAGGCATACAGTCTTGTGCTCAATGCTAGTAGCATCCATACCCCTGTTGATACAAGCTAAAATGCGAGTGCCAAAAGTAACTGATAAGAAGTAGAGGCACTCGATCGGATAAGAACTTTATTCGCTTGACATTCCAGGTTCGAGCTCGAATCCATCTTCAGAGACAACATCAGGCCGGTATTTGAGGACGAGTTTGGACTAGAACTTGAAAAGACAAGCCAATAAAGTTTTGGTCCCAGCGTTCGCGTCTTCCTTTTCTTACGTATCTTCTGTTCTAACTATAACCATGGCATTAATCCTTACGCGAACAATAACCCAAAAACTTAGTTCTAAGCCTAATCTCCTCAAATGTTGATGCAAGGCCACATGCAAAATGGGGGGAGTTTTGGGTCACGTTTCCTACTACAAATTGTCATTGTTTTGCATTATACAGGCACAAGGTCTGCTGTTTGGCGAACACCACAACCTTCGTGTTTTTCATTGATTTTTTTCTGTGCGAATTCAAATTTGGTGTATTCTCTAAATCTCTACTGATTTTATGCAGCGACAGGAAGCCACTAATTAGCAGTCGCGCAATTTGTTCGATCCAATAAATCCTGCATAATTTGCTCGCTTTGAATAAGTAAATCAAGCATAATTTTAAATATGTCCCTTTCGGAGTAATTCACTAAATGTCGGCTGGAAATATGTAGTCCTAGGAGATGACTAGAGCGAACTTGCTGTCGGAAACACCAGTTCTGTGGACGTGTTGTAGACGAGTATATATCAATTTCGACCATTTACGCAGGGTGTTCAGCCTTCCTCCCAAAAAAATTAGACTAGGCAACAGAATTTGAATTCTTTAACTGAGTGTGCGCAGGCAATGAACGAAAATTGGCTTGGTTTGCACAGGTATGGAAGTCTTACCTTTGGGTGAGCTCCACACAGGTCTGAAGGAAAGGGCCAATCTGAAGGCTAAAATATTCCAGAGGACAGCTGGGAACAATGTGTCTAGGGGGGAGGGTGCAGATGGAGGAAGGGGGGAAGAGGGAGAAAGAATGCTTTAATAACTGAGAGCCTCGCAATAAAAGAAGTAAACTGCAGACAATAGTGAGAGCAAATGGTAACGACTGATTGGTCAGGCATATAAAACCAATCTTTGGCAGATTGGCTGCAAAAGACGCTAAAATTGCGAAGAGTTGTAACGCCTTAGTTGGTCCCGACTCTGGGCGTCTGTTAAGTTTTGCCGCAGTGCCCAGCGCTTGTGGCTAGAGAAAGAATCTTTTTTCGCTCAAACCAGGTGTTGGGAGCAGAAAAAACTGTCTAGAAGTGTTACTTCAGCGGTTCGATTATAGCCAAGAGCATGTGGTTATTTCCATGTTGTCTTGGAGTTCTAATCGGAAGCCTTCGCGGGGAGCGAGGAGAACTTAAGATAAAACCTCTATGGATGGAAATATGGCTGACTGATGATAGATAAATCCACCAGAAATCGTCATTCCAGACTGCCTCGTCTTGACTTGTATGCCCTCCAAAAAAAACTTACGTCTCATGTAAAATACAAACGGATAGATTACGGGAGAGTAAGACATCTGAGAGACCTTTTCTCGGCAAGGACAACAGTTCGAAACTGTTCGTGGTTAATGAGGAGAACTAATTCACGGTATCCTCTTTCATTCTTATGCCCTTCAGCAATAAAAATTGCCCCAGATATTTGGGTTACCGTAGTTTTTATGCTGTAATGCAATAGCTGGTTAACATGATGCATGCTCCGCCCTGGAGAGGGGGACAGTCCATAAAAACTCACTAACGCATTGCTCAGACGGTGTTAGGTAGAAATGAGACACAGAGAAATGCGAACGCGAAATATACTCCTCAGCGAATAAGGCTTTTCAAGATGGCGGATGGCCACTGCAATTTCCACTGACATTCACAATGATACAACTGATGGACAAGTTGAAAGCTGGCCGCCTGGTGGCACAGTTGCGTCCTTGGGTGCGAAGACCAAGCTTTTTGATCTTGATTGATCTTGATTTTATTGCATTGATACATACCTTTTCAGATCAGAATTTAAGCGTAGTTTTTGACGTTTATTTTACTACATTCAGGATCACTGACTGTGCGAAAATTAAATTGCAAAAGGTACTAATCTCCCTTATTGTATCCATAATCAGGTCAAGATATACTTAGTGAAAATAAATCGCCATAAAGGTGTGATAAGTAGTTCCAGGATCGGTAATCTATCACTTAAAGGACCTGTGCCGACCATAGGCTCTTGTTACGAGTACTTTCTTTAGGTTTCCCAATTGCATGAAATCTTATACAACCTCAACACCGATTATTAGTGGAAAATGTGATAATGAGAAAAAAGGATCACTGGGACATGCTGGGAGCGACCACGATTCGCTGAATCGAAAGACCATTCATCTCTAAGGCGAAACTCCACACACAACGAGAGATCTCATTTACAGCAGGCATCCAGGTATTTGAAAAAAAAACATGGTTGAGCAATACTAAACCACAGACAAGAAAGCCCTCCAGAGCTCGATAACCGGCTAGAGTGAATGGACTTAGCAGAGATAGAGACTTACTCAAGGAAGGC